AAAAAAAAAAAAGCAGGTGGATACCACTATTCCCAGACTGCGACCAAGCACGCTTATCTACCCTGATCAAGAGATGTTCGAAACAATTGAAGTATATCCCAAATCAGAGATATGTTGCGATACTATGGTTGATCTCACTGGTGTCCACCCCAATCGCACTCTGGCTGGTCCAACATGGTTTGAAAATTGATACTAAATGCGTGAGATGTCTCTCGGTTTTTTAATCTATTTCTCACCTGTGTTGGGACTGCCCTACATCGAACAGAATTTGGCAGTGTTGGACAACACACTGGTACAGGGTCTCAGATGGCACTGTAAAATGGGACAAGCTCTGGGTCCTAATAGGAGGGATACCAGAAGAACTGAGCTTGAAAGAAGGGTGGGGTTATATAAATTTTTATTTTTATTTTTGTGGGGAGGGGAACAAAGCTCCAATCTATTCGTGGGGAGCAACACGTGCTGGGAATGGGCCCAGCGTCCCATATGAAAATTTACATAGAATTTTGAAAGTTTGAGATACCGGGGCCATTGCCCGGTTTTGGCAGAAAATTTGAGTTACTTAGAAAAATTACTACGACAAACTTCAGAAATAGGCAAAATTAAAAAAAGGACTCAGAACCCCCCCATCAATCTGTTTTACCTCACTCCGGCAAGACTTACTGCAGCAGAGCTACCATCTCCGTTGTTGATGTACCCTATTTCCATCCTACGAGCTAGCCCCCTCACTTTTAGGACGCTTGATGTCCCACCATCTACTTCTCTCACTCACCTTTTTTTTGAAACAATGCTATTAGCAGTGATCTGTGCGGTAATCTGGCACGGCAGGAATGATGCAGTGTTCAACAGCAAAGCATGGATTAATGAACAAATCCGAAGTGATATTTTTCAAGGCATCAGAAGATCCATTCTTGCCGATTGGAGAAGAAAGGTTCATAGCTCAAATAATAGAGAGGCGGGACAAAGATGGTTCTCAAAGACATGGTGCCTGAATTGCTCTCTGACCTTCATAGATGAGCAGGATAAGTTTTTTTCTGGGTAAATGACTATTTAGTTCATAGGTTATGAGATTGTTTCTCGCTCGGTTATAGTTTGGTTACAGGAGACAGGCGGCAGGTGTAGAAGGTGGAGGGAGTGTGGCTATTAGTTTCTAGGGCTCGAGGAGGACCCCAACCCACTCCAGGGGTCTTTTTCTTTTCTTTGCTGTCAAGTAGTACACTTCGTTCTTGTTGTTAGTAATCTCTCTGTAAGAAGATCATGGTTCCCTTAGGGTTTTTGTGGCTTTCCAGGCCGTGAGGAGTTGTTTAGCCTTTTTTCTTTCTTCTTCCGGTTTGTTGCGGGTTTCAGGCCTTGTGGTAAGGTTATTTTAGGTGTTTTTTATTGGTTTGTGAGTTTTTTTAGGCCTGATGCGCTTTTTTTTTGGTATTTCAGGGTCGACGGGTATTAGGACAACGGTCTGGTTTTGGCCATTTCTGTCGCTGGATTTCTTACCACGACACCTATTCCCTGTGCTGGGTAAAGGTAAAAAAAAACTCTGTTTTCCTTCCGGGGTGTTTGTTGAGGTTTTCCCGACCTCTCTTTTTGGTGTGCGTAATCAAATGAGCTGAGTTTTGTTGTAAAAAAATTAAGAAGAAAAAAAAACACCACCATCATTCATAACCCATGCTCAACCCATAGTTTGTTCGCAGCCCGTCAGGGTTGCGTTTCCACCCCCCAAGACATTTCAACGTCACTCAAATTTCAACATCGGCGGTCGTCGGGAGGGTTGGCATTTTGAGGTTTTGGGGCCTAGCAAGGGTCAGGACCACGTAGGACCGGTAGCTACCCGTAAAAGGCCGAGGAGGTCGCGGTCCTTGAGCCTTTTTCGAAATTGAAATGGCGCGGGTCCAATTTTCTCAAAGAGAAAAGCACCTCGAATAGAACATGTACACGTTGTATTCGAATATGTGTACCCTTTCTATTAGGATTTCGAAAAGAAAAAGCTATTGTATTCCAATAAAATTACTCCTTGTTTTTTTTTGCAGGCCAGTGTCTGCCCTTGTGCTCCCCGCCACTGACATGCTGTATGTTGCAGGGTTTTTTTTTTTT